TCATTTTTAAGCACAAAGCCAGTTTACCTTTTATTTTATTAATCTATTAATTAAACAAAAATATAAAATACAAAATACAAAAATTAAAAATAATAAAAAATGGTCTAATGGCAGTGGTGCCTTGCACGGCACCACTGGCCACCCACTCCTCTGATCACCCATACCCTACAAACTTTATCCACCCCATCAGTACTCTTGAACCACTGCCACCCCCTGTTCACCAGAACTATAGCGCCATCACCACCATACCCTACCTGACCCCCTGACTCTTTAAACCTACCCCAAACCAACCACCACATGCTTCCCCAATCAACCCTATAAAATCCATTACCTAGAAAAGAGACCAAATGGGGGATCCCTAAGAGCTTCTGTGTTCTACCCCCAAGCACTAACCCTTTCTAAAGAGCCCCCAATTGGAGAGCCCTGGCATACGACCCGTATCTTTATTTCCCAAACTCAGTACCCATAAACCTACGCCCGAAACCACCACAACACCACCCAATTTTAAATCCCAAGCCCACTAGTCCTAGTCGCACCCCCATATCTTTTTCACACCAAACACTCCCCAAACGCAACAAAAAAATAATACACACTCACCCAAAAAATAACGCGCAAACAAAAAAAAAAAACACAGTCATCCCCGCAGGAAGGAACCTCAGCGCCGAAGCCCCTTGCAAAAAATAAAATATATATATTAGTCTTTGTTTTTAAAAAAAGAAAAAAAAAACTTTCAAACCTCGATCTATGTAGATCAAGGCGATTTCTAGCCAAAAAAAAGCCAGATTGAAGTTCAGGAGGATACCAAGAACTTTTTAAAGCCTTTTATGATTTTTCAATCACCGACGATCGATAACCGGTGACCAGAGAAGGCGGTCAATACGATGGACGGCCACTGTCTGGGGGGTTTAGAGAGAAAAGCTCTGAGAAAAAGAGAGAGCTAGAGAGAGAGAAATGAGAGAAAAATGAGAAACAAAAAAATTAAACAAGTACAAAAATCAAACAAACTTGATTTGACTCGGATAAAATTAGATGTCTATAACCATTATAAGGGGTAAAAAAAGTAAATTCAAGTTAAATACAACTCTTTAGTATTTTATGTAGGTGCACATACTTAGGATTATAGTGGGTAATATGGCAGTGAGTCTTTTCCTTATTGGTTACGAAATATGACTTCTACTTTTACTTTGATTTCACTTATTCTTACTTAATGTATGACTTGCTTGTGATTTAAAATGATAAAAGGCAGCATACCCTTGGGATTTAAATTCATAATTGATTTTCTCTTTTCAAGAAAAGTTCTACTTGAAGTCTCTAAGAAGAATAAAACATATTTCAATTAAAGATTTGTTTGTAGAAGGCTACTTAAGGTTCAAAATAACGAAAAAAAAAATTTTTCTCCTAAAAAACTCTAGTCGCTCACCATTCTTCAATTTTAGGAGATTTAAAATTCAAGAAACCATGAAGAAGAGTTAAATAGCTAAAATTTTTAAGACTTTTAAGCTATTTAAAGACTTGATTGTAAAGATTCTTTACCAAAAAAAAATGAGAAGGTTGCAAGCAACTTAAACTTAGGACTTTGAAAGCTGTTTTAAAGAGTTTAAAAGAGAACAAGATTGTTCTTAATTTAAAAAGACTTCTGCACCTAATTCTTATCTTTGAAGAGCTAAGCAGCAAGTTAAAGACAAGTCAGCACCTAATTTTTCCAAGATTCTGTCTACATGCATTAAAGAAAGCCAAGACAAATTAGCATAACAAAGATTTAAGTCATAAAGGCTTTTTCATTCAAGAACCCAAGTTGGTCAAACCTAATCAGTTCAGGAGTTCAAAATCAAGTCAAGTGGCTATTAGTCTAAAGTTTCTATGTAATCTTGTTTTATAAATAGCCAGCTTAAACATTAGGAAAAAAACATAAGGTGACAAACCAATCAGTTTATTAGCTTTCTTATTGTTTTCTTTTGAGTTTTTATTGTTTGTAACCTTTTCTTTATTGCAATTTAAATTGTTCAAGTTCATTTTCATATTTCAAAACAATTCAAGTTTCTATTTTCAAGTTTAAGTTTCTGTTCTTATTTTTTCAGTTCAAATCAATTTAATTTATGCAATTCATGTTTAGGTGTTCTTTAAAAGTTAAATTTGAATTTGTTTATAATTCATATGTTGTTTGCTTTTAAATTGATAGTTGTATGTTTTAATTCATAAGGTTAGTTCAAGTTGTATGTTCTTGTCATTAATCTAATTCAATTTTATGTTTAAGTTGTTGTTCTACTATTAATTGGGTAGATTGCATGTTCTTAGGTTTAATTAAATTCGGTTAAGATTTAATTGAGTTAATTTTGTTTAAATTGCATGCTGTTATGGTTAATTAGTAATCAATTCAGTTTAATTAAGTTTGGTAAGTTTAAATTTAGTAGTCTTGCATATTAAATTTAGTTAATTGCATGAGATTAAGTTCAATTGGTTAAAGTTATAGTTGATTCTTGTTTACTTGTTTATATTTGCATGTTTAATTGTTTACTTAGATTGCTTAATTAGTTAATTTATAAGTTTTAGTTCTTGATTTCAATTAAAGCATAGAATTTACATAATTAGATTTCTGTATAGAGTTGATACATGTTTAATTGGATCTTGCATGTTTAGTTCTTAATTATAATTTGTTAAGTTTTGGTTTTAGTTTAATTTGAGTTAATTCATAAGTTACTTGCTATTTTCTTTACTCTAAGTTTATTTTCATCTTAACTCATAGTTATTGCATGTTTTCAAGTTTAATTTTATAATTTAAGTTCTATTTTGATTAGTTTACCTAGTAATTGCATTTTTATTATGATTTTTCTAAATATAAGAATGTGAGCCAATTTCAATACTTAAATCACTTTATTTATGATTCCCGTGAAAATTATCTTTACTACAATTGTGTCTAGCAATTCTCAATCAATAATCTTACATTACTCCTAATTAAATGTAGCAACTCCAAACACATGAATTTAATATTCTTCCAAATATGTCATGTAAAGTGATTTAAAATAGAATCGCTTTCCCTCCCAGCATGTTAAATTTTGTGAATCAAATGTCTCCTATATATATTGGTGTGTCAATTAAAAGAAAAATAAAATAAAATAAAAACTTGATTTTTTAAAAATATTTTAATATATTTGATCAAATATTATAATTTAAAATAAATAAAATTTCAAAATATTTTATTTTAAAAATAATTTTTTGTTGTTTAAAACACAATATAGATTTTTAATGTATTTATCAAATATTATAATTTATATAAATAAGCTTTTAAATTTTCTATTTTAAGAAGTTTTTTTTCTATTTTTAAAAAATAATATATATTTTTAATATGATTTATCAAATATTATATTTAAAATAAATAATTTTCAATTTTTTCTTTTTTAATAAGTTTTTTTTGTTTTTTAAATACAATATATTTTTTTATATATTTTATCAAATATTATAGTTTAAAATAAATAAATTTTAAAATTTTCTATTTTTTAAAAATTTTTATTTTTAAAATTTTTAGATATAATGTATATTTTTATATTTTATCTAGTTTTATAATTTAAAATAAATAAAGTTCAAAATTTTCTTTTTCAATAAGTTTTTTTTTTAATTTTTTGAAATATAATATAGTTTTAATATATTTTATCAAATTCTATGGTCTAAAACAAATAAATTTTAAGTTTTTTACTTTTAAGAAGCTTTTGTTCTTTTTAAAATTTTTAAATATAATATATTTTTTCTATTTTATCTAGCTTTTAAAATTAATAAATTTTAAAATTTTTTTGTTTAATCATTTTTTAAAAATTATTTGAATACAATAAGGTTTTTCATATATATTTTATCAAATATTATAATTTAAAATAAATAAAATTTAAAATTTAAATAAATTTTAAGATAAACTTGATGGCGCTACGGAATGTCTATTTCATTAAGTTATTTAAATTTTAAAAATCAACAAATAATATTTAAAAATATAAAAATCAAAATGATATAAAGTTTAAAAATCACGGGTGTTATTTAGCTTAAAAATAATGATTCATTCGGTCAAGGAATACTAAATATGTATTTCTAAATTTTCTTTCCTTTGATTATTTTTTTTATAATTGTAATCAATGTCCTAATAATAATATTTTTTTAAAGATATCTATATATATATATATATATATAATCCATCAAATTTGAAATGTGTAATTATTATAATTAATTTTGATCATTATGATTGTATCATGAATTATGTAAAAAAACAGAATTTGGAGTAAAATTTTTTGTTTGTTGTGGTAAAATTTGATTGTGATTGTGTCATTTAAGTTTGTAATGTAAAAAAAATTAAAATGTTGAATGAGTTGATTTTGATTTTAAAACTTGATAACTTGCTTCTTATCACTGAAAAAGTATGATAACAAATTTTTTTAGATCTATTTTAAAAGATGAATTACATTTAGAGTTTTTAGCAATAGCTTCGAACTTTACAAAAATTACATCATGTTAGATAAAAAAAATTCATGACGTAATCTTAAATTTCGTAAAATTACCTGAAAATTTTTTATCGTGTTCCAATAATTTAAACTTTCTCCTTTAAAGCATTTAAGAAAGTTAGATCTTATAAAAACATATTTTAGTTAATAAAATACTGTAAAAAAATAGTTGTCGCATTGAGAGTCGTGGGATTCTTTACAAAGGAAAGAAGAGGGTCATCACATCAATGATGAAAAGCACTGTCATCCACTCACATGCAGATGCAGCTCCCATTATCCAAACGAGCTTTTTCAAATAGTACCAGATTCTGATGAGGACAAAGCATGGGAAAGGTTGTGGGACCCACCATCCCATCCAATGTTTACAATTCGAACGCTTGTCCCTGCTCCTCTGCTGTATAAAGAGAAGTGATAATTGGGGAAAACAAATTACCAAGCATTGGCCTGAAGAAAGGGACGGCGACATCTTTGCCTTCGATGTGATCGATGAAATATTGTAGCTCATGAAAGTGGAATGTTCTAATTTTAAGTATAATTTGTCAATTTGTTGCTAGAGCAAGATTAGGAAGTACTTCATTAACAAGCTACTCGAAGAAAGGAGGATACAAACAAACAGAATGCACAGAGAGAGTTACAAAGGCCTGTTTCTTTCGGATTTTCGGAAACTTTGGCCAAATTCCCAACCACTTACATGGGGTTATCTTTTCAAGCAAAACCCGAAGGAGTCAAAACTTCCCACTAGAGAGATCACATGTTACTAACCGAACCAAACGAGGTATATAGAAGACTTGGTTTGAATGAAACACGTAAACAAGGGGAAAAATGTCATTTTCCCTCAAGGACAATTGGGGTTCTTACCAGGGCCCCCGTAATAAAAGTAATGGCCCCAATCCCCGTTACTACCTGTTTGCACGTCGTAGCAGTTTGATTGTTCCGTGAAGGTGCCAAGCCCTTTGGGAGCCTTCAGATTATTGGAGTCATCCACAACCTGTATATTCCTGAAATAACTTGATTTTGCAAAACCTTCTTCAGGAAAATGGCCGCTGCCCATTTGAGTGGAAGTGTGATGACCATCTGGTTCTGAATTCACAACCTCACCTCCCCACTCTATCATGGAAGCACTGTCCGCCAAGTAGGAGAACAAGAACGAAGGCCAATAACCCAACACGTAGTCGTTACCAAACTGAAGCCACCAATGCCCTTCCTTAGGATCCTACAAAGCAGTTCCCCAAACAGTTAATATCGATATCATCATCACATAACATATTTTAATGCTCACGCAAAGTTTGATTAACTAGAAAAGCCACTATTTCTTAAAAAAGAGTAAACATCAAGCATCCCCTCAACCCCCCCCCCCCCCCCACACACACACACACGAATTATTTCTTTTCAAAAAAAAAAAAAGGGTGGGGGGGTTCATACGGCGAGAGGAGGTGTTTCTCTTCGGCAGTAAAATAAATGGAAAGGCGCATGCACTCTAAACCCATCACATTAAGTGCGTCCAAATATGTGATCAGTTTCTTATCTCCTACCCTCCGTTATATATAACTACAGGCACAGTTTTGGCAGCTGATATTGCAAAAGACAATAATGCATTTCATCAAGCAATGTTAGCTTCCTTCGAAAAGGACAATTTCCATTGGCGTTTGCATGCATCCTTGGCAGTATCAACCACATCTTCCTCTTTGGCTAATTTTTAAATCATAATTTATGTTATCATCAAAGCTTTCAAAATCTTAATGATTAAGCCTTGTCTTCGTTTTTCCTTTTACCTTCCATACAAGCATGCTGATATCATATTGGGGATTCCTATAGGCAGAAACAGGAGAAATGCTTGCTCCCATTGCTATTTCACTGTCAATTTGAATGAAGCCTGAGCAGAGGAGATTGTAGCATCCTGTAGCTTGATATGCATCGCTCTGTAACACATTCACGAAGATAAATAGTGTGAAGAAAACCTAATAAATACCCGTAAAATGATCCAAGTCTAAGGGTAGTTGAAGAAATATTAAAATGAAATGCACAAAATTGTAGACCTACAGTCCAGTAGGTAAAAAGTCTTGTATTGTTGTCACCATATAGATCTGGGCTAACCTGTTTACATGAACACATATATTCATTTACTTTTTCTAAGAATTAAAATTAACAGCTGATATATAAAATTGAAACAAGTTTATATATGTCAACATCGTCGGTTGAATTATTGTTTCAGGAAGGTTACAGTAATACCTGCCAACCAGCTTCAATGCTATTAAGATCTTCCCCAAAAGAACCTCCAAGAATCCATAGCTGCGACAAGCTAAACTCATTAGGCTGTTGTATTTTGGGTTCCCATACGTTTATGGTTGCTTTCGCTCCATAATACTTATCCCCTTCCACATATGCTATTGCATGCTAATCTCCCCCGACAACAAGCCAAACATACAAAAACACAAAAGAAAGCAAGAATAAAAAGATAACAAGATGAATGAGTTAAATTGTTAGGTGGAAAAAAGAAAGTAAAATAAGAAAACAATTTTTATATGTTACCTGATGACCACTTTCATTCATAAGATCAGGATCTGCAGACCTGGGCTGTGGGATGGGCTGTGGGATGGCCCTATGCTTTTTCCTACCATATCTTTTGACGGAGCTTGCCCTCAAAACATCTTCTTCCTTGATTCTTCTGATGGGTATGGTTCCTTGGGGGCATTTACCATTCATGTGCCACAACTGAGTGAGGGGGTTTGAGCGTTGTTTGGGTTTCTCAGTGTCAGAGACCTTGTTATCGTCAAAAAGACCCTCAGGGTGGTAATTAGGCCGCATCTGATTCACCAATACAACAATTAACCCTCCAATTTCAAGTAGATGGAAAAGCGGCACAACAATGGAAAAAAGGTTAAGAATGAACCTGAATTTTGTGGTCTTTGAGAAAAGGATGATCAAAAGCTGGCTGGTGAGAGATGTGAACACAATCTACAATATCCCCATCCGGGCTCTGTATATGACCATTCAAAACAAAACTACCAACATTTGTTAAAAGTCTAGACATCTTTACTACTATGAATCCATACAAAAGAGTGTACTGTGACAAAGAAATATATAAATTTTCTTTATTTCTACAATAATGGAGTGGAAATAGTAGAAACGAGATGATAGAAACCCAAAATGGTAGCTTCAAAAACCTTGATTTTCACGGAAAATGTAACTACTCATCTGCATTTATTTCTACTAGTTTGGTAGCTGTCAAAATTGTTAAAGGGAAAAAAAAATCAAGTCTAGCAGAGAGACGCATGAAGTTGCTAAAAAAAAATGAAGTAATAATGGCATTCTTTTCCCCAACAAAAAAAAAAAAAGGAAGAAAGAAAGAAATATCCAACGGCACAGAAGATCAGATCAAAAGGGAAAAAAGCAGTTCCCTGGAGTAATTTTGGCTTATTTTCACAAACAAAAAATGACAGACAAAGAAACTTGGTTTACCTTAATGCTTTTAACAGCAGCCTTGTTCAATCGGTTCAAGTGCTTTTGCACTTGAAGCTTCTGCTTCGACACACTTAGCCTAGCCGCGCAAGATAGCGAGATCAAACCCAGCATCCAAAAAACCACTAGCAGTACTCCCCTTCTTGTTCTCCCTCCGCTAAAATCCCCCATTTCTTCTTTTCTCTTCTGTTGCTAAAACCAGAGCTTTTTCTCGTCTCTATGGTTTAACGCTTTGTGATCCTGCGCACCCTTCGTACAGTGCCGGTTGGTTAGAGCTGAAGCACCATTAACCACACCATAAACCAAGTGCAAAACCAAAAACAGTATTGGAGAAAGAGAGAGCTGAACGAGGACTTAACTTTGAAGAAGTGGTTCTTCTTTCTTTTTCACAAAAATCCAAATTAAACTACCCATTGCCATTAACTCACTTTCTCTTTCTTCACACTTTCTCTCTCAACCTTTTCCTTTTTTTTTTTCATCTCTCTATAAATTTTCTACTTTTGTTATGGTCTCTCTCTATGAAATCAAAAGTTAATGTTTTATTTTAATATTTCTCTCACAAGACTTTTTTTAGCACGAGGAATATAGAAAGATTTGTGGGAAAGTAGTGAAAGGAGATGTAAATAGTGGGAGGACAGTCTGCACATGAGCTTTCTTTGTCATTTTTGGAAGGATGCTGAAGTCCCATTTGCCCTGCGTCTCTATATTATATGAATTTATCATATTATGTAAAATTCATTGGTGGATCAAATTAAATCGATCCGGATTTGATTAAAAATTATTAATTTGAATCTATTCAAATGGAATTTGAATTGAGTGGGATTGGAATTAATTGATCTTTAATTATTTGAATTAAATTGAGTATAATTTTATTTTATATAAATATAAATTATTTATTTATTAAATAAACATATATAATTTTTTTTATTTAAAGGAAGATAAATGTTCATATAAAAAAAAAAAAGAGAATGACAAAATTAAAATTTATGGTCTAATATCTTTTATAAAATCTCTTAATCACTTAATCGAAAAGAAAAAAACACTTATAGATATATAATTATACTTACATATTATTATACATAAAATTAATATTTAAAATAAAATGATATAATTTAAAAATCAAAAATTCAAATCAAGACAAACCAAATTATATCATATCTTATCATGTCATGTCAATTGTCACTAGGCAATGCCAGTAAGTAATATGTCACCTCTATTTTTATTGTACTATTTATTATTTAAATAGTTAATTATTAAATTATATTAATATTATGTTAAAAAATTTTCATATTTAAAAAAAATGTGTTTAAAATGTTAAGAATTGACCGTAAGGTCAATTAAGTGATCAGTATTAATAATATTCTTTTTAACATTAACCTTTAGTATTGTATTGACTCTATTGGCAAATTTTTTTGAATTATTTAGTTATTTATCCTTTTTTAATAAACAATGTAGATAAATAAAATTTATGAACTATTAATATGAATCATTAATAATAAATTAATAATTAATGTATAAAATATTAAAAATTAACATTAAATATCAATTAAAATAAATCATTTATAACCTTTTATTTCTAACAAAATTAATTTTATATTCAACGTAATATACTTTTACATTATTAACAAATGACTTTTAAATTATCTAATTTTGACATTTTATTTTTTTATGTAATTTAAGTTTATCTATTTGATTTTAAAAGATAACCAATTAAATATAAATAACTTGAGTGTTAAATTTAAATGATTCGAGAATTAATTTAAATAATTCTAAATTAAAATAACTTGAAATCAGAATTATTCAATCCTAAAATTACTTAAACTAAAAATAATTTAAATATAAATTGATCTAAATTTAAAATAATTCAAATTTAAATTAATCAAATTTTAAATTATTTCGTTTCAAAATAATTTAAATCTAAAATAATTCCAAACGATCCACTCATTCATCACCTCTAATTAAATCATAAGATACATGATAAGTATCCATGATAGATTGTATGTTGTTAGGTCGACCCTTTTGAATTTTAGAATTAAATATGATTTGATTTTGATAAAATTTTTTATTAAATCATTTATTATATAAATATTATTTAAAATATTTTTATATTTTAAATATATTTATTTTAAAATTAAAATCAAATAAAAATTATTTTAATTGAAAAATAATATTTCGGATAATATCGAGTTTAAGCTTAAAAAATTTTGTCCACAATTTTCCCTATATTGTTTTTTTACTTTCTTTTATTGAAATAAAAGATATAGGATTACATCATTGAGTAAGTGATCTCATGCTTAGTTATTAAATCAATCTGTGTCATGGGTGGAATTGATTGATTTATTGACTCGAATCATTTTTTAATTAGATTGTTTGTGCATTTTGATTAGGAAAAATTCAAAATAATTTAGCGAATTTATAAAATATTGATGACATGCGAGGTGATTATGGACTCGAATTAGTTAAATGTAATTTTAAAATAATTTTAAATCATACTTAATTAATAACATATGCCAATGAATTATTGAATCCTTTGTCATTTTTTTTCAAAAATTATTTTTTAAAATAAAACTAAAATGCGAATACAATGTTCGTAAACATTAATTTCTTTGTAATTTTTTCCAAAATAATGAATTTTTTATTTTTTATCATAAATATTTTTATATAATTCCTAAAAAATATCTATCTAATTAGTAATATTTTTAAAAAAATTTATTTACCCACCATTAATTTATGAATGATTGAGGTATTGAAATATTGACTCAATGACCTGAAGCCTTATAATTGTCAAATAACTATGATTTCATAGTGTGGAATTCTTGATTGAGTTTGGGTAAAGTGGTCCCCTTTTCTTAAATGAAAATAATGCTGTTTGTTTAAGCAACCATTCAAAGGAATCCAAAGAAAAGAAAACATACAATAATTTCATAATAATAATAATAATAATAAAAATTATATCATTATTGTTATGAGCACTGACAACTTGGCTTCTCGTTCATGATGTGCTTTTTTATGGTATTCCAGCCTAAGATTCTTATCCTCAAATCTTATTTCATGACAATTTTTTAAACAAGATTTCCTCACACAATTTCATAGGGAAGTGTATTTTTAGTGAAATGAATGGCTTGCCATTGTAGAATCAAACTTAAGCATGTCAAGATGCTTCAGCAATGGTCCAAGTTATAGTATTTATTTATTTATGTTTAAATATAGTAGAAATTTTTTATTCTATTTTATATAGAAAGAGCACAATTTACAGCATTGTTGGTGTTATTTTTTCATATGCACCTGTCTATAATTATTTTAATGAAAAATATTTAAATACATTATCTATGAAATTTAAAATTTTCATCGACTTTTTATTTTTAGGAATATCACATATCTTATTATCTTAAAAATCTTAAGGTTGGCCTAGACAAAAAAAATGCTACACTGTAAGTTATCAGCTCAAGCAAAATTTCACATAAGCAAGAAACACTTAAGAGGCTACTATAGGCAGACAATGGTTGAAGAAAGTAAAGCAATTTCATTCATGATTTGCACTCTTGAAGGCAAGAGAAGATAATGTTGATGAAAAATCCATGTGACAAGCTGGATAAGAAAATATTTTTTTAAATAGAAGACGACGGTTGTAATTGGACAAATTGAAGGAACGTAAGCTATTTCACCCAGGATTTGCATTTTTAAAGAGTAAGTGTTGACAAAAGGCTCAAGTAACAACAGAATGGACAAAAACCATATTCTTATTGTAAATCGGAGTTTTAAATAAATAGAAGGAGGCACTAGAAGAAAATGAAAAATTAATTACAATATTTTTGCAATGTTTTATTTAAAATCATAGTTAATTTTTGTGTTTTTATAAATTTACAATATTTTTTATTAAAACAACATTAAATATTTAAATAACAATATTTATATTTGTAAATACCACTAAAAAACAAAATTTAATGGCATTTAGCCACTAAAAGGTCGTCGAATAAAATAAAAAAATTTATTAAATATAAAATAAATAAAATTTTTTAATAATTTCTTTTATAAGAAACGCTACTATATTAAATCTCATACTAAATATAACATTAAAAAATATTTAATAGTATTTTAAGTAATAAATGTTGTTATAAAAAAAACCAAATAATGGTGTTTTTTAATTAAACACCGCTATTAAAAAAAATTAATGACGTTTTTTTTTTTTTTTAAGGTAAATGCTACTAAAATGAGAAAATTAGTGGCGTTTATTAAAGAAACGCCACTAATTTTTCCCAAAATTGAAACCCGCGCCCGATTTCCTTCTCTTTCCTTTCCCAGGCTTTTTTCTTCTCTCCAAACCCATGCTATTTTCTTTTCCAAATTGCCATTCATCTGCTAGTTTACTACACGAGTTTGTTTAGTGGATCTACGACCAGAAAAAAAAGATAAAAAAAACTTTACCAAAGTTTCCCTGTTCGAAGCTTTGCTTCTCTTTCGTTGTGTTCTTTACTTTGTCTGAAAGTATTCCCTCTCTCACTCTCTCTGAATAAGGAAGCGTAAAATTTGATGTTAATCAAATGGCATGTATGAAAGGGGTGAATAGATCGGCCTCGGTGACCCTAGCGCGGGACGAATCATGCTTAGCGGCGGAGACGATGTCTGGGGTGCTGGATCTGTCCTTCAGCTCATCCGCGAATCTCGAGATCTTCAAGTTTGATTTCCAGAATGACGATCGTAAGTTTCCGGTGATAGGCGAGTGCCCAAGCTCAGAGTGATTTAACCGCCTTGCTTGGGGCCATAATGAATCCGGTTCCGATGAGTTCTCACTCGGGCTCATTGCTGGTGGCCTCATTGATGGCCACATCGAACTTTGGAATCCCCTAACCCTGATCCGGTAAATTGGATTTTCTTATAATCTATCTGTAATGTGCATATCGTTTTTTTTTTTTTTATAGTAATTTATCTGTAATTTTGCCATTGCTGATGGCAAAGTCACGTTTCCTTCTTGTCTTAAACAGGTAAATCAAAATTTCCTTTAATTTTTTTAATAGTTTTTTGTTTTATTTTTTCTTGTAATTGAAATTGAGATATAATTTCATAATCTGGTACTAATTTCTTCGGGTAATATATACAAATATCAATAAAGTTTCATACTTTTGTAATTTTGGGGGCTTTTTAAAGTTTTTTTGTGTTTGAATTTTTTAGGATTTTAGGTTTTTGGGAATTGGGATAATTTGTGGGGAAAGTGGTGAAAAATTATTTATTTATTTATTTATTTTTATTGTTCATTTGTTTGAAATTTTTAGTTTTTGGTAGTGAAATGTTTGACGTAGAGAAGTTCAACGTTTAGAATCAAATGACGTTTTTGTACATTTATTGGTAATTGAAAATTAAAATTCGGTGAAATTTTATCCATATAATGTAAATTTTTAGCTTTTAAACAAGATTTGCTTCTAATAGAAACCACACTTTTTTTTCTTTGTGTTGTGATAGGAGCTTATTCCTTGAGTGTCAGACTTGATTTTTGGGCAGTTTAGAAACCTGTGTTGTCCCCCCCAATTATCAGAACATAAGCTTTTGATTTCAATTATGAAAAAGGAATTTGAAAACAAAACAAACCATATAGAATTTGTTTTTAGTAATCTTTTAAATGTGTTTGTCCGCATATGGCTACTAGTTTGAGATGGAGTTTTCAGAAATAGAGTTGCTTTTTTGGTTGCTGTTTATGAAGCTGAAA